GTCCTTGAATTTTTTTTTTTTTGCACAGTATTAATTTTATTGTCAGTGTCAAGACTTCTTAGCTATGAAAATGTGACAGAAAACTTTACTGTCAATATGTTATGTACTAGCTGCACCCAACAGTTACCAGGTAAGTAAAAGCCCACGTGGGGACAAACCCCAAATCGGACAAAAACTTTATTAAAAAGTGAAACAACATAAAACCCAAGACGACTTGTGTCAACAAATGTGCAGCCAGCATGCTGTTTTTAGTGTGATGTGAGAGATTTTTTTAAAAGCAAAATGGCATGATAGCACTGTCCTTAAAATTATAAATCGGGGTAAAGAGAAGGGAAGCACCAACATAGACTTGGATCTGCAATGTTATAATAACGTTACATCATCTCCCTTAAAACAAATGTGGATTTAACCAGTTCTTTCAAGGTTCAGGAGCTCTGTGGTTCCAATATGAAATGAACGGCATCTAGTTAAACATGATGTCATACCTCAGTATGTACTGTACCTCTGGTATCTCTTCATACAATCAAACACGCAGTAACTCAGCTGGAGCCAAAGATCTGTTTAGCTTTTTTATTTCTATCAGCTTTTGGACTCGAAGGACGTATCTATACAATCCCTCATAATTAATGGGAAAATATAACTACTACTCATAAAACAACTGAAGAGCTGTGTTCTGGGGAATGTTCATCTTATAACATTTGTAGTGACAGGCCCAAATGCAACAATGGTCATATGATGGCAAGACACTGTTTCTAAAAATATGAATACACGAGCTAAAGTCGATTTTTCTAAAGCAGTGTGTTGAAAAAGTATTTGTTCAATATCTCGTTATAATGAGAAACGTTTCTTGTTATAAAGAGATACCTTTCTTGTTTTTATGAGACACTTTCAGGACAAAAAGTGATTGTTCTTTCCCCCCACAGTATTGACATTTTATTTTCATGCACAATGAAATACTGTTTATTTCTTCTTATAAAGACATACTGTATTTTCCCATAATATACTGTGACAACGTCAATGAAATATAGTTTCAAATTTACACCCTGAAGAACCATCTAATATGATAAACACACACACTAGAGTGGATCATTTCTACAGTTATTCTCAAGTTCGGCCTGCCCCGTGTGGGAGCATCGCACAAAACGCTGGCTGGACCACCTCTCCTAGCTGCATTCAGCTTAGCAGCCTCTCTCTCATCAACGACCTCCTATACCAGCTTTCCACACAACGGCCAGCACTGCACTTAGGTTTCGCTCTAGCTGGTCCTTGAGAATCACTGATCAGACACATAAAGCCAAGCACAATATTTACATATCGGTGAACAAAGAGGCACATGAATGAGCCACGATACCCCGCACATGTCCCGATCATGTTTCAAGCATTAATGACAGCAAGTAAAGTCACTCTGACGTCGCTCACTACAAGCTGTGCAGGGCTCATGTTAGGGAGTTGAAATGATATGCTACATTCTAGAGTCTTTGTTGCCATATTAGATGATTGTTTGGGCTATAATTTGAAACTAGAATATGTTTCACTTTGTACAATATGTCCTTATAACAGGAATATACAATATGTTGCTATAATGAAAAAAAAAGTCATGTTTTAACATAAAAGTATCTCATAAAAACAATATCTCAATGAGAAATGTTTCTTTTTATAACGTGATAATGAGCAATTTTTTTCTCATAATGGCAGCAATACCCTGCCACGTGTTTCCTTATAAAGACCTGTGTAACTCATTGATTGTATATACGATGAACAATGCGTCACCACTTCCCTCCACTATTTAAAAGTGAAGCTAATGAATTAGGTCATTTGTACTTTGAAGGTTTATTTTGGCTCATCTCATCCACTACCATAGAGGGGGTGGGGTTTATGACCTATACTGGAACTAGCCTTGAGTCCAGTCTAGAATGTCAGACCCAAGTTTATTAAGTTTAAATCGTGTTGTTCCAGTGTGTCTGACCATCTGTTGGGTCTAAGATGAGTTGGCAGCTCCAGCGGCAGAATCCACTGAGTGGTGAAGCACAAGATGATCCCAGCCTACAGTTGTGAGACTGTTGGAGCCACCGTGGAGCCAGCTCACACCTTTGACAAAGTCCTGGTGTCGCTGATCTCTCAGTCTACGTCAGAAGAATATATGATTAGTATTTTTTAATAAATAGTACAGGAGACTGGCCAATAGATTTCCATATGAAGCACGACTCACATTTCCTGCAGTTGAGTGTTCATAACAGCAAGGGAACAGTCATCACTAACGGAGGCCAGCAAGGAGGCACTGGGATGACAAAAAAAAGTGTTATCTTTTTACAGAGGAGCAACATGAGAGGACAGAGAGATTGTAACAGAACTCATATGTACCTATGTGTGGAGAAGGCGAGGCCATTAACTCTGCGGCTGTGGACATTTGCCACCTGGGCTCGTTCTGTCCCCAGAAAATCCTTCACAATGACTCTACCCAGCTCATCACCTGAGGCACAATAAGTATGATCAAAAACACATGCACTGCCAATTTATATTATCTGTCAGTCAATCTCATTCAGGGCCTTACCAAAAGCAACAGTGCTTCTGTGGTGGGGGTGCCAAACTACAGTAGTAGGCAAGCAGTAGGGGGAATCTGCATCTGAGACAAAAAAAAAACAAACAAAAAACAAAAAAAGTCATGAAAGATGCATTAACAGAATATTTGGATCTTGACAGGATGTAACTAAAGGAAATCTCCTTGTGAGACTTTAAGATTCTGGGCAGAGATGGCAAAAGTACACACAATTGCATAGTGCATGAAGTGCCTTAGGCCAAGCAGTGGGGCAGAAAGATCATCCTAGTGTTCTGTCTTGTATTAAATAAGTAAAAGAAAGAAATCAGCTCTCGGTCGTTCACATAAACGAGCCAGCTCATAGAGGCAACTGTTCGTGGCCATCGAGGTAGCGAGAGGAGTCAAAGTGAGTCTCGTGCCGGTGGCTTATAAAAATTATGTGACAGTTGTTCTCGATGTTTGCGATATAATAATTTACTACATCCCATGTAGCACAAACCACAATACACAGGCTATAGTGGATATTCTGCCCACCCATATTGCCATTGACACTAAATTCCATTGTAATAAAATACATGCTAGTGCTGTTAACAAGCTGGAAAAGCTGAGACAAGCCACTCACCTATTCTTGAGGCTGGTTTATTTGGCTTCCTCTTGTCCCACATCAACACACGGCCATCCTAAAGGACAGGACAAAAACATGTCGAATTTGAATAAAGATGAATAAAGTCTTACACTTCTCTCTCTGCTCTTTTACAGCTGACCGATCTTTATTATTGCTGACTGCTGGTTGATATACAGCATTTATGGTAGCTTTCTTGTCTTACAGCCTGTATGTTAGATGTCATGTTCCCAACAATGAGTGCTAACATCTTACTTGACCACAGGACATGAAGAGAGACTCATCTGAGGGACTGCAGGCAACACAAGTGACTGGCCCTGAGTGCGCTGGAGGAAAACAAAAATGGGAGACAGATTCAGTTATGGCTTTTACTGTCTTTATGAATTCATTTTTATATTACTGCTGACATGTCAAAACCACATTCTTCCAATTCTAGACAATATTCAATGTATATTTTTGCCAAAGCTATAGAATGCTTCAAATGTACAAATTAAAATGCATGTTACAGGTAATTAATTATAGGACATGTGCCTCTATTATTTTAAGTTCAGTAATTTGAGAAAATAAAACATTTCAAAAAGGAGTGTCACAATTTTAGCACCAAAAGAGAACCAGTTGTGATGGTTCTTACGATTTAGAAAGAGATCATTTTTAATATTAGTTGAAAGATTTCTACTTAGTGATTTAGATTTATTTAGATGTGAAATCCTCGGTGAGGCCATGGAGAGGGACTATCAGTCGGCCTCGAAGAAATTCTGGCAAACCGTCCCGCGCCTCAGGAGGGGGAAGCAGTGCCCTGCCAAAACTGTTTACAGTGGAGGTGGGCAGTTGTTGACCCGACTGAGGACATTATTGGACGGTGGAAGGAATACTTCGAGGATCTCCTCAACCCCAGCGTCATGTCTTCCAATGAGAAAGCAGAGGCCGGGGGCTCGGAGGTGGACTCGTCCATCACCCAAGCTGAAGTCACCGAGGTAGTTGAGAAGCTTCTCGGTGGCAAGGCACCAGGGGTGGATGAGATCCGCCCTGAGTACCTCAAGTTTCTGGATGTTGTGGGGCTGTCTTGGCTGACACGCCTCTGCAACGTCGCATTGGTGGTTGGAGACAGTGCCTCTGGACTGGCAGACCGGGGTGGTGGTCCCTCTTTTCAAGAAGGGGGACCGGAGGGCGTGTTCCAACTATAGGGGGATCACACTCCTCAGCCTCCCCGGGAAAGTCTATGCCAGAGAACTAGAGAGGAGAATTTGACCAATAGTTAAATGGTAAATGGACTGTATTTATATAGCGCTTTTTTCCAAAGCGCTTTACAGGGAGATCATACCACCATTCACCCATTCACACACACATTCACACACCGATGACGACAGCTGCCACACAACGGC